TTTATTTTATAGTATTATAAAGATATTTCGAATTGATCTTGATGAATAAACTATAATATGCATTTCTATTAGTGCTGAAGGCTTACCTGTTCCCGCAATTGTCACTCCGGACAACGCACCGTTTGCCCATAATTGAATTCTATGATTATTGGTATCTGCTATATAAATATTTCCAGTTAAATCAACAAGTACACCACCTGGATGTAGGAGATCAGTCGCATTTGAACCGGATATTCTACTGGCTTGCCCTGCAATTGTGATACCGTCTGATGCACCGTTCAGCCATTTTTGTATTCGATTATTGCCGTAATCAGCTATATAAAGTGTATTTGAAAAATCTACTGATACATCAGCAGGAGTATTAAGTTGATTGGAATTATTTCCCGGTGAACCTCCCACACCAGCAACAGTTATCCCTGTTGTGTTCCAACGAAGAGAAGGAGTAACAACTAGAACAATCAAAAATATGGTTGAGTTTCAATCATAACAAAAAATTTTGTTTGAATAAAAATTACCTTCGGTCGTACTTGTTGTTTTACCAGTAAAATGAATAATCAGATAAATACTAACGGCAAGTGTGATCAATATGAATAGAGTCACAATAATTATAATCCATGTTTTTGGAAATATTTTCTTTTTGTCTTTATTCTCTTTTCGTAAATCTCTGCAATAAAGTATATTTTATAACAATTCAAAGACAAACTAATCTATTAGTTATTTACTTGACATCCTTTTTCATCGATCGTTGGACAACATCGAGAGAAGGCACTGAATTTGACAAGAATATATTCGATCTATGTGTCTCACTTGTCGTTAATCGCATTGCAGACATTGCTCTAGATGAGAATTGAAAAGTATGATTTGAAATAGTTGATGGTGCCATAGAAGGTGATGATTCAATATCAATGTTTTTATATTGTCGTTTATCATTGATAGGTACGACCTAAAAAAATAGCTTGTGCCATTGTGACCATTTATCTTCAAACTATCTTATTTACTTTGGATGATGAATGATGTTTCGTTCTTTTTGGAACATTGGTTACACGTACTGATCGAAATCTATCCATTCAGTAATAACTATGGATGACAATTCTTCAAATATATAATAAAATCAATCTAATTCTATTTTTTTTTTCATTTTTATTTTGCTACGTTTCTTATTTATATAAGAATAAAATCTCATTAAAAAAAAAGAAATACATAACAGAATTTAATCAAACATTCATTTACATATAAATTAGATTATGTTTTATTTGATGCCAAATTCATTGAAGTTACAAAAGTTGATTTAAAATATTGGTGCATTTTGATGCATTATTACAAACCAAATTAAAAAAAAATAAACATTAAAGTTTTCATTGGTACAAAAAAAAAGAGTCAATAACATCATATCTGTGTTATGCGCTTGTCCTTTAGTCAATGAATCATCTAGTGCATTTCACATCAACAGAAAAAGTCAAGACCAAAATGGCATTTAAAAAAAGAAAAGATCAATTGACATACATACAAATGTATCTATGTATTTGGCACAATGTCATCGATGAGAGGTATAAAAACCAATGATGGATAGAACATTCGTCCTCTGCAATGTGATTGCGGACGCATAAACGCGTACAGAGAGAAGGAAAACATAATATCGAAACAAGAATCGATGACGGAGGGTGTGGGTGTCGGTGTAAGTGAAGATAAAACCCACACCCACACCCTTTGATCTCTTTTCCATTGCCAGGCCAAGTGAGAACCAAATGTTTTCAAGTAAAATAAACAATTTAAAAAAAATCCCTCAACTTAACCATTTTGAATACCAATCAATATATGACATTTGTATCTTTGAATCGTAGTAAAATTCAAGTATTCACGAAATTTAAACATCAACATAATGAATCGTGCAAAAAATAAACGCGACTTCAAGTCCATGAACGATTATCTAAGTGTTGTATTCTACTCTCAATCGTCGTTTAATTATTTAAAAAATGCACTCAAATATCTATTCAGCAGTTTATTGACAGAGCGAGATTGATAGACACACACAAAATAAATCCTCATTCATACCCTTGTTACATTATCAAAAGAACGAACCAGACTCTCTTTCTTTCTTATCATACATAACCTTGACATAATATCTCAACTTACATTAACAGCACAACAAGCGTTTTTTCCTGTCTAGTCACACTGACTAAGCATTTATTTTTTCCTATATAAGAGAAGAGTTGTTTTTCTCTTCATCGTGCGCTACACACACTCACGTACCGCAATTCAAACTACCGAAATATGGCCCCTATTAGAAATGCTGCTGTCATCTTTGCTGAAGTTCCTACCGGTTTTCCAGAGCCTGGCAAGCATATCAAATATGTCGTAGATCGAATAATAGACATCGACACAGTCGATACACAAGGAGGCATCATTACGAAGAATCTCGTCGTATCTATTGATCCGTACATGCGAGGTCGAATGCGTGCACCCGAAAAGAAAAGTTATTCACCTCCGTTCGAACTTAACAAGCCGCTGGTCAATTTTATTGTTGGTAAAGTTGTTAAATCTGAACATGCAAATTACAAGGTCGATCAACTTGTCTATGGATTTGGAGGCTACGAAGAATATACAATTCATTCGAAGGCTCAAGCCGATGTGCTTCGTATTTTGACTGACGATGAACTCAAACTTGGTCTTCCTCTGACAACATGGGTCGGAGCTGCTGGAATGTCTGGGCAAACAGCATTCTATGGTCTCTATCACATCGGTGAACCAAAGAAAGGAGATACGATCTTTATCACTGGAGCTTCGGGAGCAGTCGGTCAAATTGTTGGTCAACTCGGTGAGTTCATTGATTCGAAAAACATACGAACATTCATAACGTATTTTCCACAAAACAAATCAGTTGAAACTATTATCTTTCTTTTTTTCGGAAAAAAAACTAGTGGCAGCATTATTTTTGATTTACATGACGTCAAAATTCTATTCAAAATGAGTACTGCCTTAAAACATGTCACAAAAGCAATTTAGTCGTTTGTAGGAGCAACTCATGTAAAAAAAATAAGGGTAAAAATCAGATTAAAATCGATTATGAAATGATTAAAAATCGATTATAATCATACACCTTTAATCGATTAGGAATCGATTATAATCATACACCTTTAATCGATTAGGAATCGATTATAATCAAAAATAATCCAAAAAACCAAAGTTTCATTGATTATTCCGATTATAATCAATTATAATCGATTCAAAAATCGTGAAGAAAATTCGTTAAACATTTATTTGA